TTGAAGTCTCCAGCGACTATCGCAGTATCCGTTGACCGAGCGCTTTGGAGCAGTAGAGAGAGGTCCTTGTAGAATTCATCCTTTATTTCTGGTGAACTGCAATCCATCGGTGCATACGCGGATACGACGAATAAACATCGACGCTTCGTTCTGTAGCTGTTGACGCGTACTGAACCATCCAGACGTACAGCGCAAAGTCGGCTGTTAACCGGGATCCATTCGAGAAGTGAACGCTCGGCCGTGACACTTAGCGCAACACCAGCAACACCGCGAGCTTCGGATGCCGAATCGCCTGACACACGGAGAGTCAACTGTGAACGAGTTATGTAAACTTACGATACCCCTCATTAAACAAATGATAGAAGAACCACAAGTATGCGCATGACACCATACAAACCAGTATTACCTACCGTAATCCATGAAAAAAGTTATCAGATTCCGATTGATTTGAAAGTGGTTCCGATTCTTCCGACTGTGACCAGTGAGCCCAATACCAATAATCTTTCTTCTTATCACCAGCAGTCAACAATACGATGTTCAGCACTGCTGAGACAAGCAGTTCTGAGCTATCTGCCGCTGTTAACGTTTGGATGTGTGTTAGATGAGAACTAACCGGTTAATTCGCTAAACTTCTGCTTCCGAGTGAATATGATTTCGCGCAAGATAACGGCCTGAACAGCAGCGAGCACCGCACACGGTCCCCCACCATCCTGTACCAAAGCAGTGGGCTCTGCAGGACTGAAATAAAAACCTGAAGGGTGTAAGGGAGCGAAAACAACTTACCTTGACACCAACGATCAAATATTTCGTCTCCTATAATGCCTGGTCCCCAGATAATTTTGCTCAGCTCAGGCAATAGGGAATCCAAAGCTGCAGTCATTGAAGAACACAAAAATCTATGCGATACTGTGAATTTTCGCAAGAACACTTGTTTACAACATCTGGAAGACAAACAGCGCAATTCATTTATAAATGTTAAATAAAAGATGGTTATGGATTACCCGTATATGAATGGGAATTTCCTACTAAATAGGGTTCTTCATTATTACCAGTAGCCAATGGAAGTAATGGCAGATTCAAGATGAACGTACAAGATGGTAAATTTTGAATATATAACAGTTTCAATGCCACGCTTAACCTAGTTGGGCAATGTGGTTTGCAACTGAAAGTCCCGTAGCTCATTTTGTCGATTTCCAGGTGNTATTGTTATTGCACATTACAGCATTTACAGTGAGAAGGATAAATCACAAGGTCCCAAGACATTCCTAAACTGAGAAATGCAAAGGAAAACAGTCACAACAAAAAAGCTTATTATTCTTCTTTGAATAGGTAAAGATAGCGGGTGAGCGGAAAAACGGAATAGTCCACTCTGGCTGTTCTGGTAGGGGAATAAAGAAGACGGGAAGACAAGGTCATTATGGTCGGAAATGGGTGCCTTTGGGTTTCACTGGTAATCCTTCACCTAAACTTCTCGAAATGCTACTATATGACAGACCATTCCAATCAGTCTCGGTTGAGGAAGTCTTACTTATTGTCATCCCGTGGCGGAG